TTAGTCTGATGAGATCTGATTAATATGGTGGATCTCAGAAGAATCTGTGAACAGGATTTGGCTTCATCTGTCATCAGAGCCTGTCTGTTTGAACACTGCACACATTGAATGTTTTTATTATCATCAACTCAAGCAGGAACATTTCTGCTAAGAGTCAGGTTAGAATTATTTACTTTTCTAATGAAGAGAAGCTGCCGGTTTTATTTAAAGATAAAGCTGCAGAACCTCTATTGATAGATCAGAATATAAAGCAGCACTGAGCGAGAACCAGAGAGACTGAGCCTGGAGGGACATGGACAAGAGAAGAGACATGGACAGAAGGGACATGGACAAGAGAAGAAACATGGACAGAAGGGACATGGACAAGAGAAGAGACATGGACAGAAGGGACATGGACAAGAGAAGAGACACGGACAGGAGGGACATGGACAAGAGAAGAGACATGGACAGAAGGGACATGGACAAGAGAAGAGACACGGACAGGAGGGACATGGACAAGAGAAGAAACACGGACAGGAGGGACATGGACAAGAGAAGAGACATGGACAGAAGGGACATGGACAAGAGAAGAGACACGGACAGGAGGGACATGGACAAGAGAAGAGACATGGACAGAAGGGACATGGACAAGAGAAGAAACACGGACAGAAGGGACATGGACAAGAGAAGAAACACGGACAGGAGGGACATGGACAAGAGAAGAGACATGGACAAGAGAAGAGACATGGACAGGAGGGACATGGACAAGAGAAGAGAAGAGACATGGACAGGAGGGACATGGACAAGAGAAGAAACACGGACAGGAGGGACATGGACAAGAGAAGAAACATGGACAGGAGGGACATGGACAAGAGAAGAAACATGGACAGAAGGGACATGGACAAGAGAAGAAACATGGACAGAAGGGACATGGACAAGAGAAGAAACATGGACAGAAGGGACATGGACAAGAGAAGAGACATGGACAGAAGGGACATGGACAAGAGAAGAAACATGGACAGAAGGGACATGGACAAGAGAAGAAACACGGACAGGAGGGACATGGACAAGAGAAGAAACATGGACAGAAGGGACATGGACAAGAGAAGAAACACGGACAGGAGGGACATGGACAAGAGAAGAAACATGGACAGGAGGGACATGGACAAGAGAAGAAACATGGACAGAAGGGACATGGATAAGAGAAGAAACATGGACAGAAGGGACATGGACAAGAGAAGAGACATGGACAAGAGAAGAAACATGGACAGAAGGGACATGGACAAGAGAAGAAACACGGACAGGAGGGACATGGACAAGAGAAGAAACATGGACAGAAGGGACATGGACAAGAGAAGAAACACGGACAGAAGGGACATGGACAAGAGAAGAAACACGGACAGGAGGGACATGGACAAGAGAAGAAACACAGACAGGAGGGACATGGACAAGAGAAGAAACATGGACAGAAGGGAAATGGACAAGAGAAGAGACATGGACAGGAGGGACATGGACAAGAGAAGAAACATGGACAGGAGGGACATGGACAAGAGAAGAAACATGGACAGAAGGGACATGGACAAGAGAAGAGACATGGACAAGAGAAGAGACATGGACAGGAGGGACATGGACAAGAGAAGAAACATGGACAGGAGGGACATGGACAAGAGAAGAGACATGGACAGGAGGGACATGGACAAGAGAAGAAACATTGACAGGAGGGACATGGACAAGGGAAGAGACATGGACTGGAGGAAGATCCATTTTGGTCTCAGTGGTTCAGAGGTTTTGCAACAGGTCCAGCTGGTGGGTTCAGGTGTCAACAGTGAACAGCTGCAGTTTACTATATCTGGACTGGGCTCTCCTTCTTCTGACAGGGGAAAGCCTGAATACAACAGCACCCCCTGCAGCTGATCTCTGGTACAACCACAACTCTTACACAAGCCAAAAAAATGAAAAGCTCTTCTTACCTCAAAAACACACAAATTGACGTTTTAAAAGTATTAATTTTTATTACTCCAGTAGAAGTTCATCTTTAGCTTTTTATTCCATTAAAAGCGTAAAAATACAATTTTTAAAACTACTTAAAATGTAAAAGTAAAAGTAATGCAGGAAAACAAACATGTTAAGGCCAGAAGCAGTTTTATTGCTCTACCCTTTTAATGAAAGATTTTTCTACAATTCTGGATGATAACTTCCTCAGACTTCATTTTCTTATTTTCATAACTGAAGTTAACAGAGTCACATTTAACTTTGCAGCATCTTGAAAAGCGATTTATTTTGGTTTGTGGTTAGCAACAAGTTGGGGCACCAATGAGTCCAAACACAAAGACTCTTATTTCATATATTAATTTATCCTATTTACTCACTATAGAAGTTTTCACTCAGCCTGTTTCACTTTCAAGGCCAAACAATTCTCCTGTGTGATGCTGTTTGTAGACCAGACATTGCTTCTTCCATAACAAACCAGATTCTTCCTCCAGGTTTATTCATAACATGTTACTGTTTAACCAAAGTGTCTGTAATTAGTTTTGACTCTGACTACTTTCTATTGTTGTCAGTAAGAAGGAACGAACGCTGCTCAGGCAGAACAGGGCTGATTACCATGAAATAATTTATGATGAACTGTTCTCTCTTTGCAAAGATAAAAATAAAGTGCCGACTGAGTGAAATCCATCGATCTCCGTTTATTTAATTGGAGCAAATAGTTGAACACTTTTTTCCCACTACACTGGATAAAACTAATTATTTTAATGTTATTGGGGGGTTTAAATACCAACAGGTTAGAACAAAAACAAGCTTAAATGAAACAAAACTAACGAGTCTATTTTTAAAATGTAAGGAGTAGAAAGTAAAAAGTTGTTCAAAAAATATTTAAAAAATTAGTCCAGTAAAGTATAGATGGACAACATTTCTATTGAAGTAAGGAAACAAAGTATTTTTACTTTGCTACTTGAAACTTCTGCTAAAGATATCAATAAAGCAATGATTTGACTTTAACTTATTAACTAGATGCAATCAGCTGGTTTTCCAGCTGCAGTAATATTGCATCTCTGATGGTTCTGAGTTGGTTTCTCAGAGGTTTGAACCATTTAAAGTTGCTCTGATTTAAATCCACAGATCGGTTTCAAACAGTCAGTGATTCTGAATCTTAGCTAAAAACAGTGTCTTCAAAAGCTTAAGTAGTTTCTCCATTTAAAGAAAAAAGATCTGCCTCTAATGTGAATGAATCAAAATGTTCAGGAAAAGTCTTACATTCATATCAATGCTGCACAGATCATCACACTTCCAGGTCTGCTTTCTCAGTTAAAATTCATCACAGCAAATAAATCACATCTGTGCACAAGAGATGAGCGACGGAAAGAAAAGCTGAGTAGCTCCTCCAGAGGCGGGTCTGTCAACGCTGCACAGAAAGTATGCTGGGAAACACAGGAACAGCTAGTATGGCAAACCACAAAGGCCAAAAATAGCAGAGTATGGCAAGACAAATAGATCATATTCAAGGAGAAGTCACTCATATTCAGAATTCAAACTTCTGAAAGTTCTTTAAATATGAAATGATTCCATCCTGTTCAATAAATGATCAGTGTTTTTAATTCACAGTAATTTTCATGTGAATGTGCTTTACTGGAGGCATCCATGTTTGTCAAAGAACACTACTGCCACCTACTGGTTAGTGACGTCACGGTGCGGTATCGGCTGTTGATCAAGTCCCAGTGCTGTATCTGGTGTTTGTCACAACGCGCTATTATCCAAGTCATCTTGAAAACATTCTTCTTCTTCTTTTGCTACACTGCAAAAACGATCTAGAAATAAGTTAAAATTTACCCTTAAATTGAGTAGATAGTTTAATATTTCTACTCTTAAAATAAGATAATTAGTTAATATGCACTTGAAATAAGACAATGCAATTCTTTTTTTCTGATTTTAAAAGTAAATCGTCTTGTTCCGTTGGCAAAGTTTCACACTTACCTCATCAATTCAAGAAGAAATGCACTTATTTTAATAAAAAATGACTAATTGAGCTTTCAGTTTTTTTTCCAGTGTACATATTACGTGCACTGCAAAAACAATCTAGAAACAAGTAAAAAAAATAGTGTCTTAAATGAAGAGTATTTACCCTTCATTTAAGCAGGTAAATAAGATGATTTGCCAACGGAATTAGTATTTTTACTCTTAGAATAAGATAATTAGATGCACTTGAAATAAGACAATGCTATTGTGTTTTATTTTAAATGCAAATTGTCTTATTCCGTTGGCAAAGTGTCTCACTTACCTCCTCAATTAAAGAAAAAGTGAAAAAAAAAACGTAATTTTGCTGTTTTTTCTCAAACCCGTCCGTGGAGGATCAGGAATCAGAAAGGTGGAATAACTCTTTTTTTTCACTTTTACCCGATGTATTCCAGCATCCAGCTGCCATGCACGTGGGCATTGTCAGTTTCACTATAGCTCTGGTGCATTTCAACACTGCAAAAAATGGAAATCTATATGTCTTTTTTTTCTTAAACTAAGTGCATTTGTTCTTGAATTGAGGAGGTAAAAGAGACTTTTTGCCAATGGATCAAGACAATTTACATTTAAAATAAGAAAACACAATTGGATTGTCTTATTTCAAATGCATAACATCTAATAATTTTATTTTAAGAGTAAAAATACTCATTCCTTTGGCAAATCGTCCCATTTACCTACTAAAATTAAGGGAAAATACACTTGATTTAAGACATTTTTACTTATTTCTAGATCATTTTTGCAGTGAATGGTGAAGTCCTCTGGAAATCTTCAATAATTGTTGTTGATTGCAGATGTGTCTAGTAGTTCCCATTGATTTAGCTTGTAAAGCGGGGAGAATGGCGCTAGGCTTACCGCACCGTGACGTCACTGCCGGAAGATGGCAGGAGGGAGGGGTTACTATATTTGGGTAAAGATGGCCGCTATATATTTTTTACTAATTAACACTAAATTCATTAAATCACTGGGAACGGATTAGTTTTAGGTATAAATAAAGATCCACTGATTATTCCTGCTGACTGAACTTTTCCTTTAATGAGGCTGAACATAAAATAAAACGCATAAAACTGATTATATTCCCTAAACAACACAGGATGTGGTTTTGTTGCTGGAGGATTTTTCACTTGCTACAACATTTCTGGGCAGAATGTCCCATTTATCCATTGAAGGAGGATGGTGGTCCCAGTCCGGCTGAATGGGGGGGTCGCTCAGCGCCATCAGGCAGCCCAGCCAGTAGCACCGGGAGCCCAAACCATCCATCATCTCCTTGGGCTCCTTCACTTCCTGTGCAGACGACAAATAAAAACTTTATCCAGAAGCTTCTAACATCTCATTCATCAGCGTCTGGTGTGGAACCAACCTGCAGGGTGGGGCCATGTTTCTGATAGTAGAGCGCCATCTGCAGGTTCTGAACAGTTAGCAGCATGAACTCTTTAATCTGAAGGAAACAGGTGTTTTAATGAGGTCAGCAGCAGAAAGTTTAACCTTCCTGTTCCTCGTGGTTCACCTTTGGGTGTTCGGTTCCATGTTTGGATTTATCCAGGTCAAAAACTTTGGAGATCATCGCCTTCTTCTCCTCCATCTGAGTTTTAGCTTTCAAAAATGATTCCTGTTACCAGCAGAAAAAAAAGGATCAACTGTTTAATCAATAAATGAATGAAGCACAAAGTTATTAGAATCTTTCTAAAGCAGATTTGACCTTAATCAGCTTTCTGACAGCGTCTGGTTTCTTGCCATTAGATTTCAGGTTAACTTTAATGTCCAGCCAATCACATCGCAGAGTTTCATACATCTCAGTTAATCGACTCTTACTGACTGGGCTGTTCAGACTCATCATCCGATCTCCAGTTTTTATAGAGGGAGTAATGTCTGCAGCCACTCTGCAGAAAACAAAAGCAAAACAAACTTTAATCATATTAAATAAAGACAACAGACACATCCTGGGAGGGGGGGGGTTACCTGTCTTTGAAAGATTGAAGTTCTTCCTCTTTGTGTTTTAGAGCAGCCCTGAAACATCAAACCAACCTCATGAAGAGCAGAATAAATTTAAACTGTTTCAGATTTAGCAGGAAAAATGTTTTATCTTTATTTCCCATTTAACTATTTATGAATGAATGAATAAATAAATGAAGGGATTAATTTTAAAAATGAATTAAAGATTTGAATGGGTGGCAGAATGAATGGATAAATAGATGAATTAGTGATTTTTTTTTACCTTGTGTTTTTAAGTTCTTCAGTCATTTCTCTGTTTGGAAAAGAAATCAATCTTGTTAAATGACGTCAGATTTACACTGAAGGAAAGTTTCTCAGGTTTTATGTTAATAAAAACGTTTTTTTTTTTAGATGTGAACTTTCTAGAAGCTCAAACATAAAATAAGACGTGTGACGTTTAACTTTTCAAACATATGGATGCAGGAGCAGCACCTTAGCTGGAGAGGAGTCACATCTTCTTCCTGCTCAGCAGCAGATCTATGAAGTAAAACATGAAATCAGAGAACTGATCCCAGATGAACTGATGATCTGATCCCAGGTCAGTTGGAGGAAAACGGTTTTGTTTCCTCAGTTGTTGCTGTGATGATGTCATCCTGGTTCAGCACAGGGAGACCCAGTTCCTTTTCCAAACTTGACTCTGATCTTTTAAATGCTGATCAGAGCTGCAGCCGCCTGCTGTTAGCTGACACTCATCATTCCTCCAGGATAACTTTCTGTTTCCAATAACCAACAGCTGTTTGTTATCAATCCTGCAGATCTGGCATCTTCAAGCAATGCATGCATTTCTACACATGCAGGACTTTGATGGTCAGAAAGTCGACGCATCATGAAGGTGATTTAGTGTCTGATCTGGAAACCAGTCGGGTTAAAGATGGACGCTTTAAAACTAAAATATTTTAGGGCCGTTTGGTTGATTTCTGTAGATCTCTGCTTCCTTCCAATGGCAGCAGATCAATACACTGGAAAACCATCTAGAAATAAGTATTTAACCTTAATTTGAGCAGCTAAATGAGATGATTTGCCAATGGAATTAGTATTTCTACTCTTAAAATAAGAGATTTAGATAAAATGCACTTGAAATAAGACAATATAATTGCGTTTTCTTATTTTAAATGTAAATTGTCTTTTTCCATTGGCAAAATTTTTATTTTAACTTCTCAATTCAAGAACAAATGCACTATTTTAAGAAAAAATGACTTGTGTAGATTTAGATTTTTTCCAGTGTAAATCTACCTTTTCATAGCATCAGAGTTCAGTACCTTTGCAGCTTTTCTTTCATCTCTTCTTCTTTGCTTTGCTTCTCAGCTGAGCTGTAGAGTCAAACATAAGGAATCAATTCCAGCTCACTTTTCTGAAATTTTTTCACATTGATCAGCTAGAAATGTGTTGACAGTTGATGGAAAATCTATTTTCTCATTTCCATCATATTTCTGTATCTAACAGGAAGTTTGCAGGTTAAAGTTAAAACCTCTGATTTGTATTTATTAAAAAGTCACAGCTATGGAAGCAAATCGTACCATATTTAAAATGAAAAAGCATTTCTGAAAATGCTTTTTCATTTCCAAATTTTACATTTTAAATAGAATTTTGGTATGTATTTGTTGGGGTACATTTTGAAAAAAATAAATCTCAAATGTCTTTTTCTTTTTAATTAAGTAAAAGGATGAGCGGTGTTAAAGAAGAAAATGAAAATGCAAACAGGATGATTGATTACTAAATATATTTATGAGTCAAATAATGCAGCCACATTCTTATTTTTCTGAAAATGCTTTGTCATTTGAAATATGATAACGATTTGCTTCCATACACAGCTGCTGAATCTTTCCTTCAGGCTCAAAGTTCTTCAGACTGGGAGGAAAACGGTAAAACTAATCAAGCTTTAAGTTCTTCTTATGTATGAAAGTTTCTGCCTTTAAAGCACTGATGGAACAGGAGAGATTAAGACGAGCCAGCGAATCCAAGCAGGTCCCGTTTATTAGCTAAACAGTTTAATTAGAGAAGTTATTTCATGTTTTATATCCGATCAGATGCATATATTGTCCATAGATGTTAAAAACCACCCAGAATGAAGAGGGAAAGACTTCAGACCAAAAAGATGATTATTTACCTGATTTCATGCTGATTCCTTTGAGTAATTTCAATCTGTTGGATTCTAGATAAAAAGATGAAATATTATCAACTTTGTGTTCAGTTTGTGACGTTAACTATTTATCTCCTTTTGTTTATGTTTTAGTTTCTCATTTTCACACAGTGAACAGAAAAAGCTGAATAAATTAGATGGAAATGTTCAGAAATTAGAGGAAACATTTTTTATCTTAAGGGTCCATAATCAAACATAATCTGTGATTGCACATTATTAGAACGTCTGGTCGTTCAGAAATGTTAAACAGACGGTACCTAAATTCAACGTCTCTATAATCTTTTTCCACATCTTTCCAATCAGATCTGTAAAGAAATGGCAGCAGTGAAAATGTTTCCTTCCGTCAGACGCTCTGACCTCAGAGGAAACACGGAGGAATCATCCTAATCTAACGTTAATCTGGTTCAGCTGAACATCAACCTGAAGAAGAACATTTAACGCTGCTGTTTGTGAATTAAAACAGGTTTACCTCATTTTTTGATGTTCCTGGTTTTGTTTTTCTTTCATCTCATCGATTCTGTTAAAACATGAAATGTTAGTAAAGTAAAAACAAACTTAAACCAGTTATTTATAATTTAACCAACGAAAGGCAGGAGCTGCTTTAAAATAGCTTGTTGTCATAAAACTGCAGCAAATATCCAGGAAACTAATTTATTACTGTTTATATGACCATTTAACACATCATCCTGTTCTTTGGTTAGAAAACTATGAATAGATTGTACCTTCGCTGGGAGGAAATCATCTCCTTGTTTAGATCAGATCTGTGGAAAACATTAAAAATTAAAAGCATCGAGTTTATTTGGAATTTGGTTTCCCTTCGCTCACATCATGATAAAGAGTTTAAACATAAATCAGAATAGAAGAACAATTAAAGGTTAAAGGTTGTAGCGTTGCCATGGCGACCAGCAGCTGCTGCAGGTTAGCGGATATCTGCTGGACCTTCTTCTGAACAGTCTGTGGATTCTCCTCCGGTTCCACTTTGTTTCCTTTGCAGCTGTTGTCAGTAAACATCTACCTGCTTTATGTCTGATATGGTTTCTGTTCAAAGGGAGTTTTTCCTCTCCACTGTCGCTACAAGCATGCTTAGTGTGAGGGATTGCTGAAGAGTCAATGAGTCGATGCAATCAGCTGGTTTTCCTTAGATAGAAAACTTTGAATCAATCTGACTGGATGATCTGGTGAACTGGAAAGTGACCTGAGATGACATGATGTGGATTGGAGCTATAGAAATAAACTGATTAGAATTTAATTGACTTATCATTTTAAGATGATCATAGATACGATCAAATTTAAAGCAGCTGATTGATACGTTATTTAAATATGCCGTTAATTATGAGAATCAGTTTAAGGTAAAATAGTTTCTCATAGATTTCAGTTCTATAATCATAACCTGATGTTAGATATTAGTATATCAATAGTTTCAGACAAGCTGCTCCAAACATGATGTTTGAAAATGTTTCTAGTATTTTTCAGTAAAGTACCTTTGTTGAAGTGATTTCAGCTTTTCCTTCTCTTGCTGGAGATTAAAGCTGCAAAGCAAAAATACAAACCGGCATTAGCTCAGGATACCTAAACAAAATAAAAGCTGTCCTTCTGCACAGGTGGGTCAGGTTAGGGCTGATGGCTGCTTTTAATCTGAAGGACCGTGAGGAAGAAATTGGATTTCAGCAAAAAATCCTGCAGTGTGAATGTAATCCAGGTTTGATTAGAGGTTTGATTAGTGGGCGGGGTTTAGTGGTAATAGGTCGGGGGTCATAGTTAGTGGGCGGGGTTTAGTGGTCAGATAGTGCTGATGAAGATTCTCAGTCATCCAGGTCATAGTCATTCATTAAAAGTTTAAAAACATTGGACTTGGTTTCCACGGTTTGAAGACGTTTCGCTTCCCCTCCAGGAAGCTTTCTCAATTTAAATGTCTGGATCCGCAGTGAGTTTGAGTCTTTATATAAACAAAGCCTGGTATTGCTTGGAAACATGCAAATGAAAACCGATGAACGGGTCGTTTGGTTCCATTGTTAGCCTGAAATATCTGAAACCTGTCTGTGATTCTGAAACCAAGTCCAGTGGATTGTTTTTAAACTTTTACGGAATGGTCAGATAATGAGACTTCACATATATGGGCGGGGCTTAAATATAAGAAGGAGGGGCTTGATGGTTAGGGTTTAGGTAGTTAGAGGGGGGGGTGAGCTAAATAGAAACCTATGAGAGTAACTTTGATCCTTTTTAAAGCCCGTAGTTTAAAAGCAGAGAATTAAATCAACTATTGAAGCATCAAATAAAGGCGATTATTCTTAAATCAAAGCTGAAAATGGACGAATGCTTACATGAAATCTTCATGTTGACTCTGATGAAAACTGAAAATCTGTTCGAATCTAATGGAAAAGGTTAACGTTGATTTGACAAATAAAATCCAGTAAATAGTTGATCAATAAAGTGTATTTCTGACACAGCGGACATCAGGACTTTAAGGACACGTAGATCTGCTGCTTTTTGAAATATAATCAGTGACTAGATAAGAAAAACAAACATGAAACCTTAAACATGTAAAGCTGCTTATACTTTACCTTCGATTTAGCATGTTAAACTTTTCCTCTGCAGGTCCCAAATCGGGGCTGTGAGTTAGAAACTACAGATTAATGAAGTTAATCAAGACTCATAAATGGATCAAACGCTGAGCTCAGCAGGAAATGATGAAGCAGCGTCCTGCTGAACCCTTACCTGTCCTACAAAATACTTGCTTTAAGAGTGTCGAGTTAGCTGAGGCTTAAAACGTCCATAATGTTCTATAGATACTGCATTTTCCTCTGTGGCTCATCTGTTCTTCCTTCATCCGTTTTTACCAATGACTGTCTCATCAGCTAAACACAACATCAGCATTAAAAAATGCAGTTTCCTAATACGTGGAAACATTAGCAAGCATCTATGGCAAACATTCCTCTCTGATAATGTTGCACACACTGGTTTGGTGATAATGAAATCAGGGTTCAGGTCTACAAACTAACCGATCAGAAGGAGCAGAAAAAAAAGAAAAGCAGGTTTTTATTTACCTTCTTTTATGCTGCTGGGAATCTTTCAGCTCATTAATTCTAAACAAAACACAGAAGAAAAGTTGCTTTAAACTGTTAATATCAGATCATCCATCTTTAGGAACGATACGCTCATTTTATAGAAACAGACAGACAAATAGTTCACCTCAATTCATTGTTTTTTGTCTTACTTATTAGATTAATTTAATCCAAAAAAGGCTAGATAAACAATTGGATGGTAATAAATTAATTGAAGAAATTAGCAATTTTTGAGAGTTTACTATTTTTTGAATAATTCAGTGGATCGAGAGAAAACTTATATTCTGTGATGCATTAAAATATTATTTTATAATTTACATACTGTTATGATCTTGGCACTGATGACTGGATTATTGGTTTAATTCCTCCACCTGCTTAGCTCCGCCCAGTTTTCGTTATCACTCATCAGATCCACCTGTTCCAGTTCATATTTAAACTGCTTGGTCCCAGCCATCAGTGCCAGATTATATGAACCTCTGAGGGACCAAACTTAAATAAGGACAAAAGGTGTTCAAAATTTTTACTTTCATTTAATTGTGTCAAAAATTGTTAAAAAAGGCTCCAAAGCAACACAAAATAACTTAAATAATAAATAACATGAATCTGAGGTCAACTGAGGAACCAACTCCAACAAAAACTGACCTGCAAACAAAGAACTAAAGGTTGCTTAAATAGGGATGGAGTAACCCAAGTCTACCACATGAGGGAGACATAACATAACAAAAGAAACAATAAAAACAAAACCATTCTGAAACAAATAAAGCAAAACTAACTTTTACTTAATAATGAGTATTTAAGTGACAAAATTAACTAATTAAAAACAACTTGAAACAAGTCTCCCCCCGTCAATCAAATGGTACGCTCCAGGTTTCCTCCTCCAGCTGGTTTGCATCAGCAGCACCTCAAACTAAACAAAAGTGTAAATAAACTATTCAGACAGACATTAACTAAAGTGTTTGCCCATTAGAAAATACCTGTCTAAAAGAAATAACCAACTTAAACATAAACTGTAATATAATATAAAGCAAGAAAAAAAAACTAACAGGATGTGGTGGGCGGATCATCCACCACAGAGCCGTAGGTGAGTTCTCTAGCGTACCCCAGTGTGTTTATTCTGATGGCCTGATCCTGACTAGTTTCTCCTCATGGACTTCTGAGCCTCCCTGCCCCTGTTCTGATCTTTTTGCCTGACCTGCCTTCAGACTTCCTTTGGATTCTACCTGCTAACGACCTCTGATCTGTCTCCTAACCCCGGCTCGGATTTCCCTTCGGTACATCTTCGGGTCTTTCATCTAATGGCCTGGACTTCTGATCCTCATCGACTCCGGCTTTAGATTCATTTTCCGGAAACTTCTGCTCTTCCTCGTCTGCTGGCTTCTGCCTGTCGCTCTGCTTGCAGCATCTTTGGCTTCAACTCCTGGAACTCTCTGGGCAGCTCCCCCCACATGCAGTGGGAAATCATCCTGCTGGATTCAACTCCTTCCTCTGGGCTTGGACGGAACTTAATAACCAGGTTAGTGACTCACATGCTGTTATGTGGTCACTAACCTGAGTTGTATGTATATATATATATATATATATATATATATATATATATATATATATATATATATATATATATAAAACTTGTGAGAAAGAGAAACTTATGTTTTTCTTTGGAGTCAAATTATGCTGCTACTAAATAAAATATTAATGTTTTTCACCTATTTTATGAAAAAAGTAATCTTACCTTTGATTCAGAAATTCCAGGTCCTCTCTTGCTTTTAAGAAAGAAGTTCTAAGGAATAAAAGAACAATATAATTTGGACAGATTCAGGTCAAAGGTCAGACTTTCATTAGCTGTGATGTCAGAGCTGGACCGAACCATTTGCTGACTAAAACAGGCTGATTACAGCACAGACAGAGGAAGAGCTGGACTGGGTGGAAGAGCCAGAATAACTCTGATAAAGACGTAGAAACATGGACACGATGCACCATGTTAGATGATGAGGTGTTTACCTCATCTTATCGTATTCCTCCTGCTGAATGGTTTCCAATTCTCCAATCCTTTAAAACAAAACACACATTTTATTTACGAATAACTGAATCTCATAATTATGATTTCAAAAAATGAATCTTTCATTTCAATAATCAAAACTTCAGTTTCAAACATTTGATGATAAAATATCTAACATATTATCAGGTATTATGTTTTATAAACTGATATTCAGCATCTTTAGTGCATTTTAAAGTCATTTTATAGGTGAATTACCTCCGAAGGAGCTCATTGGTTTGCTGCGCTGCATTAAATCTATAAAGACAAAAACGGAGCATCAATAAAAGCTGAAATAATCTAAACTTGACGGATTAAGGAAATAGATTTTTACTTTGACTGTTTCTGTGAAGCAGACATTCTCTGCGATCCTTGAAGGAGAAACAGAAATCATTCAATCCATCAATGAAGCCATGCTGGGGTTTTTCCTCAGATCATCTTCTTAAAGTTCTGATACAGTTCCCATATGAATTTAGATGATAGAAGATTTTAATATTTAAATGACTCTTAAATCCATATCCTTAGATCAGTTTGCTCATGCAGCTTACCTGCAGCTGTCTTTCAGTCCTTTCACTTTCCTCTACTCTTTCCTTTTCTATGCAAAGTCAATATGCTGTGTGGAAGCAACTCATGTCCTAAAATAAATGTCCTCTGACTACTGGGTAAAGGGGCAGAGAGTCTAACTTTAGCTCCATCCACAGATTATTAACATCTCCCCACCATCTGCCTCTCAGTACTTTGTGCAGATCCTGAACTGAACCCCTTCCTACGATGGGAGACTCTTTCATTATAGCTATAGACTTCGGCACTGCATACAGCGGATATGCATTCAGTATAACATCCAGGGGGGAAAAAACGGATCCATATTTGAAGATCTGGGGGGAAGAGGTCGGACTGGCAACCCCAAAGACTCCTACCTGCATCCTGTTTGATGAAAACCAAGACTTTATCAGCTTTGGTTACGAGGCTAGAGAAGATTATCTTTCAATAAAAGGACAAGAAGCCAGAGACAAGTTATTCTTCGACTGCTTCAAGATGGCCCTCTATGGGAAAGTAAGTACAACTCAACGGATCATCAGAGGCTGAGCGGGTTTTTGTAAAGCAGTTGAAATTATTTACTTTATTGGACCTAAAGGCAGGGAACTAATTTCATTAAACCCTGCTGCTGGTTTGGTTTTTACTTTAAAGGCACAGAGTTTAAAACAGCAAATACATGTTGTTAGGATAATTATCATTGATGTAAAAATTAGCCTTTTTGCTCGTTTTCTATTGTAATAAAAGTAATAAAAACCAGACACCTCACCTTATGTCTGCTAATCAAAACACCTGCCAGTATACTTTGTCCTAAATAAAAGAAACAATAGAAAAATAAATAAATACATTGATTATCAGTAGCTCTTTTTTTAATTAAATCATCCAGCTATGTTTAATCCCATAACCTATGTTTTGTTAATGATCAGTTTTAAAGTGTCTTGCCCACGACCAAAATCTAATAAATTAGCAAAGATTCCCAAAGGAGTAAATCATGATAATCTAATTAAAATCAAAATAACTCCAATTGGGGAAAAAGTTAAAACAATTAAATGCGGTCTGTTTAACATAAGATCGCTTTCCTCTAAAAGTCTACTAGTTAATGACTTGATTTGTGATAATCACATTGACTTGTTTTGCCTTACAGAAACCTGGCTGCAGCAAGAGGATTATGTGAGCATAAATGAGGCAACTCCTTCAAGCTATTTAAATTTTCACATCCCCAGAAGTTCTGGGCGAGGAGGAGGAGTAGCAACAATCTTCGAGTCTGACTTACTGATTACTCCCAAAACAATTAATTCCTACAACTCTTTTGAACATTTAACCCTTAATTTCCCTGATCCAAATTTCAAGGCAAGAAAACCTCTTCTTTTTGTAACTTTGTATCGTCCACCAGGTCCTTACTCTGAATTTTTAGATGAGTTTTCAGAGTTCCTTTCTGATTTGGTATTAAATACTGACAGGGTCATCATAGTGGGAGATTTTAACATCCATGCTGACATTGAAGGCGATAGCTTAAGAGCAGCCTTTAATGCTATCTTAGACACTATTGGCTTTGTTCAAAATGTGAATAGTCCCACGCATTCTCATCTTCATACTTTGGATCTTGTGCTGACATACGGCATAGAATGTGAAGAAATAACAGTATTTCCTCACAACCCTGTCCTCTCTGACCACTTTCTAATAACCTTCAGGATTACTTTAACAGAGTTCTCCTCCCCCAAAAGAAGGTTCAATTTTAGTAGATCTTTATCAGATAGTGCAGTTATAAATTTTAAAGAATCTGCTTCACTTTCTCTCTGCTCTGTGTCACTGAGCAGTGCTGCAGAGTGCAAAAGCTTAGCTTATTCCCCTTCACAGGTTGATGATTTTGTTGAGGGGGTTGCTAGTTCTCTGCGTATTGCCTTAGACAACGCAGCTCCTTTGAAAATGAAAACCATTAAAAATAGAAAGCTTGCTCCTTGGTTTAATGCAGAGCTGCGTACTTTGAAGCAAAATGCTAGGAAACTGGAGAGAAAATATCGCTCCACAGGCCTGCGAGAGTCCTTCCTAGTCTGGAAAAATGGTTTACTGCTGTATAAGAGGACTCTTTGTAAAGCAAGAGCAGCATACTTCTCCTCATTAATAGAGGAGAATAAGAATAATCCTAGATTCCTTTTTAATACAGTTGCCAAACTCACCCAGAGCCATAGCTCTGTTGAACCGTCCATTCCACCTGCTCTTAGCAGCAATGATTTTATGGGATTCTTTATAAATAAGATTGATCTTATTAAAAATAAGATCATAAGCACTCCTCTATCCGCGATTGTACCTGAGGTAGTCATGGAATCTGAACCGGGTTTAGACTGCTTTGATCCAGTTGAACTCTCTGAATTAGCAAAATTATTGTCTTCATCTAAGCCTTCAACTTGGATGTTAGATCCAGTTCCAACCAGGTTATTTAAGGAGGTATTCCCTTTGATCTCCTCCTCCATTTTAGATGTGATTAATCTATCTCTGTTACAGGGATATGTACCTAAAGCTTTTAAGATTGCTGTAATTAAACCTCTGCTTAAGAAACCGTCTCTTGACCCAGATGACTTGGTCAATTATAGACCTATATCCAATCTTCCTTTCTTTTTCCAAAATTCTTGAAAATTTAGTTCCCAAAAACAATTTGCGATCATTTCCCACCTTTAATAAACTTTTTGAAGAGTTTCGTCTGGTTTTAGAGCTAAACCCATAGAACTGAAACAGCTCGGTGAAATTTCACAAATGTTTATTCTCATGGCCTCAAAAAGGGCCCCTTGTATCTGTGCTGCCCCTGTTGGATCTTGGGTGCTGCTTTGATACAGTTGCCCAATAATTTTTTTTTAGAAAGACTTAAATATTTTTTAAAAATTTAAAAACACCCCTAGACGGGTTTTAAAATTTTTTTCAAATTGTTTCGAATTCATTTGTTCATGTTAATGATAATCTTAAACCACGCTAAAAGGTTTTTTTACCTGTGGGTACCACAGGGATCAGTGTTTAGGCCCAATTTTCTCTTTACTTTTCATGCCCCCAAATTTGGGTTTAGTTTTTATTGGGCCCAGCATGGGAATTAAATTTTCCCAAACTTTTTTATGCGATGTTTCCCAGCTAAATCTGTCTTTTAAAACCAATAAAAGCAACCCTTTACTAGATTACGGGCATGTCTTGAAGACAAAAAAACCTGGGACTTTTAATTTTTGCTTCTAAATGCGAAAAAACCAAATTTTATAGTTTTTGGGCCCAGAGTCTTGAAAAGAAACTGATTAGCCAGTCACTTCTTTTGGGAGGGGATTAAACTGATTTCAGTTTAAAGTAAAAAATCTTGGGTTTTTTGGGGGATCAGGCCCGGGTCATTTTAAACCCCAAATCAAAAGGTTTCTAAAATTTTCCCTTTTCTTCATCTGAGGAACATTGAAAAAATTTAAAAATACCTTCCGGGGGTGATGCTGAAAAACTATCATGCATTGTTACTTCAAGGCGGGACTTTTGGGTAATTCTTTACTTCGGGAAGCCCACAAACTTAGTTAAAAGCCTTCGCTGATCCAAAATGCTGCAGCCGATTCTAATGAAAATGAAAAAGAGAGATCATATCTCTCCTACCCTGGTTTCCCTCTTCATTGGTTTCCTTTTAAAAATCAAGAATAAAATTTTAAAAAAATCCTCCTTCTAAAAAAAAGGGCCCTTAAAGGGCCCAAGCTCCATTTTATACAAATCTGTTTGTTCCTTATTCCTAACAAGCATTTTCGCTCTCAATCGCGGGTTTTTAACTAGGGGTTTCCCCTAGAATTTCAAAAAGTAAAATGGGAGGAGATTTTTTTTAGTTATCAGGCTCCTCCCCTGGGGAACCCAACTCCCATTTAGTCCGTGGGGCAGACACCCTTCTACTTTTAAGGGCTGGGCCCTTAAAACTTTAATTTTTGATAAAGTTTTATATTTTAGGGGGGTTTCCAGTTTTCCTGACTACTCTTTATTATGCGGCTATAGGCTTAACTTTTGGGGACTTTGGGCCCCCCATTTCATCATTCTGCTTCTTTCTCTCTCTTTCTCCATTCGGGCAAAATTTCTTTTTTTTCCAATTTTCAAACCTTCTGCTCTCTTGCTTTTCCTCAAGAAAGCTTTCCCTCTTTTGTTCCTTTTGGCTGTGAGTCATCCGGGAAAAAAAAACATCAGCTGGGGCTGCTTCTATCAACCCCCCTTTTTTAATAGATTTTGGGAGATGGGCCTTTTTTTCCAGGGGTGGCCCTTTTTCCTTGACCGTGATGAGGGGATGTGCTCTCTTCCCCCGGGGCAGGGGAGTGCCTTGGGCTCGTCGCCTGGCTGTGTGTTTTCCTGGAGGGGGGCCCCCTTTTTAACAGCTGCTTTTGTATCTCTGTTTTCTGTCTCCTTGAACCCCAGTGGGCCTCGGCGATGGGCTCACACGGACCTGGTTTCTGGGGGTTTTCTTCCTTTTAAAAAGGGAGTTTTTCCTCTCCACTGTCGAAACAAGCATCTTAGTGTGGGGGTTTTTGTTTTTGATAAATGAGTCAATGCAACAATGGTTTCCTTAGATAGAAAATTTTTGTATCAATTTGACGGATGTTTCGGGTTGAACTTTTTAAATTTGCCTTGAGATGCATGTTTTGTAATTTGGCGCTATAAAAATTAACTAATTGAATTAAATTTGAAATGGACCTTTTAAATGTTTTTTTTTGAACATTTTTTGATACATTTCTTGAAGACACGTTAATTTATCACCATAGCTTTTTACAATGTTGGGGCATTATTTTATGTTAAATATGCCCAAAATTTCCTTTCCCACACAAAAAACCCTTTTCTTTTTTTTACTTTTTGAAATTTTTTAAAAGTCAAATGCAATAATTTCTATGGTCAGAAAGGAGGTTCAGTGACAGAGATGGAGACTATATGACCATATTTGGACGGTCAGAAATAAAAGTAGTAAAATAATATTATCAGAAAACAAGATGTCTGCCCAGCCCGGCTTAGATTAACACTGCGGGAAACATGTCTATAAGCAACTAACGATTATTTTACAAAGTCGTTAATCTGACGAAATTTTTTTCGAGTAATAATCTGATATATTATTAAAAAACGATTTTTTACGAAATTAAACCAGGTAAAACTAAAATGTTTCCACTTGAGGAGTTCTTGAGAGCCTTTCCAGGTTATATAAATTATAGATTTAACTTTGTTTTAGTTTCTGTCATGACCTAGAAGCTGATGACTGGCTTGATTGTTCGTTCTATTCACCCGCCCAGCTCTGCCTAGTTTCTCATCACCGTTGGTTTTTGTCACCTGCTCCGGTCTCTATTTATCTTCCCTGCTTCCAGTCATCAGTTCCAGATTATTAAAACCTTTAGTCAGAGTTTTCTAGTGTGCCTGATTGTGTTCTTATTGCCTGATCCTGACCCGCTTTGCCTTTGGACCTCTGAGCCTGCCTGTCTCTGTTCTGATCCGTTTGCCTGACCTGTCTTCGGACTCCTGCTGCATTCTGCCTTTTGCTGACCCTGGATCTGCTTCCTGACACCGACCTGGATTATCCTTCGGTGCCTCTTCTGGCCCGTACTCCTGTGAAAATTCAAATCCGGCTCTGGCTTCGTCTTCTTGGATCTGATCTTTTGGTTCTGCTCCTTCAAGGCTTCAGCCTCTGGGACACTCTGGGCGGCGTTCGGCGCGTCGTGTTTGCCGCCGTGCGGCTGGAATCCACCTCTTCCTCCGGACACGGACTGAACTATAAGACTCGGGTAGTTTTAGGGATTACGTCTAGGGGATGTTGGCATAACATCCCCCACATTCCCACATCCCCCAAATTGATTGATTGATTGAGGATTTTCCGTTACTGTTGTGTGTGTAGTTTGAGTTGTTTCTTTTAATTTTGACAATATTGTTTTTTTTATCTCCTATTGTTTTTACCTGTATAATGTCCTTGAATGTTTTGAAAAGCGCTTGAAATAAAATGTATTGTTTTAAATATTAAGTTGAATAAATCTGTTTTCATGTCTTATTTATGCAGCAGTTTTTAAATATAATTCAGTTAAATTCAGTTGAATCGTTGTAGATTACATACATTAAACCCCATTACTACACAGATGATTATCTTTTATGTTTGTACCCATTATTAGAGTATATAAAATCAAAAAAATATATATATTTTGGTACTCTTATTTGAAATCTTTGAAGATCAGGCCCTAAAATAAGAATCTCCATTTTTACAGAAAATCAACAGAGACCTGAAGATTGAAGCAGCCAACGGACGGTCAATGAAGGCGCTGCGGGTTTTTGCAGAAGCTCTGAGATTCCTGAAAGTCAACGCTCTGACAACGGTCAACTCAAACGCCAAAGGTAAAATGTTTATCCCTTCTGACTTCAACTGGGTGCTCACTGTTCCTGCCATCTGGGATCCTTCAGCTAAACAGTTCATGAGAGAAGCTGCAATGCAGGTAAAACTAGATTGACTCACATTTATTAATGGATGCAAATCAGGCATCTAGAGTAAGATGTCTATGTTATAACGCAATGAGCATGGTATCGTTTGTAGGCAGGTATTGTGAAAGAGGGAAATGAAGATAAACTGCTGATTGCTTTGGAGCCTGAAGCAGCTTCAGTCTGGTGTAAGAAGCTTCCAGCTGACGGCTTCATCACACAGAACATCAGCAGGAGATCACTGGACCAGTCTCCAGGAACTCAGTACATTGTTGTCGACTGTGGAGGTTATGTCCTTTGCATTGACTTCAGTAGTTAAGGTTTTTTTTTAGATGCAAACAATTATAAAATTTCTCTTCTTCGCTATCTTCTCCTGCAGGTGGAACCATTGACATCACCGTTCATGAAGTCCTGGAAGGAGGAACCCTGAAGGAGCTGCACAAGGCCTCTGGGAACGATCTGGGAGGACAAACTGTGGACAGGAAGTTTAGGGAGTTCCTAAGACAAATATTCTGTGATGGAGTCTGGGATAAATACGAACTAACCTATCCTGTCGAGGTTCAGAAAATAATGTATGACTTTACCCTTTTCAAAAAAGGGGACAAGGATATGGAAATCACCTGCTCACTAAACCTCGGTATATTGGCTGCAGCTAACAAAAGCATTGAGAAGTTCCTGGAAGGAGTGGAAGGTGCTACCTGGGATGAAGGATCCATCAGAATCTCCAAACAGAAGCTGAGGTCTTTCTTTGCAGAGAGTTTGCAGGGGATCACTCAGAGTCTGGAGCGTATTTTACAGGGCGATTACAGAATAAAATACATTCTGTTAGTCGGAGGCTACGCCGACAGCCAGATTCTGCAGAGGCATATTACTGAAGAGTTCATCGATCAATGCGACGTTCTGTGTCCATTTAGGCCGCAGGAAGCCATCCTGAAAGGAGCCGTTGAGTTCGGGAGAAAACCATCAGTGGTGGCATCCAGAAAATGTGCCTTTACTTACGGTATTGCTGTCGCTAATAGGTTTGATGTTTCAAAGCACAGGGCAGAAAAGAAGTACACAAACACAGATGGTGAATGGTGTAGCGATATTTTCATGAAACTGGCAGAAATCAATGAGGATATTGGTTGGAACCAAGTCAAAAAATTTAGCTTGAGTCCAACTGCCTCTGATCAAACTGAGATGAAATATACTTTTTATAGAAGGAAAATTAAAAGTCCAAAGTACGTGGATGAGGAGGGAATAGAGAGAATAGGCAGTTTTGTTCTTGACTCACCAAACACTGCAGGTGCCCTGAACCGTGAAGCCATAATGAACGTACAGTTTGGCTCCACAGAAATGAAAGCAACTGCAACCGACATCGATTCTGGTTCAACTAAATCAATCAAGCTTGAATTTATGAGGGGATGAAAACCTGCAGACGCCATGAAGATTTCATGGTCTCTTACTTCTGCCGCTTTTCTCCTTTCTCTGCTTTTTCTCATAGTAGCTTCATCTGGTCTGTTCCTGTTTGGCTGTGACTCCATCCTGGAGAGAAATATCAGCTGTGCTGCTGCCATCAACACCTTTGTTTCTAGATGTTGGAGCTTGGCCTGTTTTCCAGTGTAGTCCTGTTTCTCTGACTGTGACTAACTGGATGTGCTCTCTTCATCCTCTGACATGGGAGCTGGCTCGGAGCTCGTCTGCCTGGCTGTGTGTTTCCTGGACGGGGCCGCCTGTGGAGCTGGTTGACAGTTGCCTTTTGTATCTATGCTTCTTTTTCTATGTCTGCTTCTGTCTCCTTGAACCCCAGTGGGCCTCAGCAGATGGCCGCTCACACTGAGCCTGGTTCTGCTGGAGGTTTCTTCTTGTTCAAAGGGAGTTTTTCCTCTCCACTGTCGCTACAAGCATGCTTAGTGTGAGGGATTGCTGAAGAGTCAATGAGTCGATGCAATCAGCTGGTTTTCCTTAGATAGAAAACTTTGAATCAATCTGACTGGATGATCTGGTGAACTGGAAAGTGACCTGAGATGACATGATGTGAATTGGAGCTATAGAAATACACTGAATAGAATTGTTGTGGGCTAGAAATAAAAAAAATACATCTGTGATCTGTTCTGTGTTATGAAGATCTGTAATTTAATTCAAGTCTATGTTGACCTTCTGTCATTCATGGCCAAAAAATGTGATTTTGTTTTCCTCAGAGTTAAGAGTGTAAGCAGATGAATAAAATAATATAATCCCTTAAGCTTTTATCATGTGTTTATCTTATTTTCTTCTTCTAAGAGCTAAAAATACTTCATTAGCAGATTATTTCATTTACCTACTCAAATTATTTGAATCCTTTTTTTAACCTATTTTTAGATCCGTTTTTGCAGTGTATTGATTTAGGATTAGAATTAACCTTGAGGGACCATGAATTATTTTTTAAACCAATTTGCTCTTTTAACTTCTTTCAGTCAGTAAGTCGCCTCACTAAATTCCACCAGTTTCCCCATTATGGGACAATACGGAGATTTTTCTATTCTAAACGGTAAATGACCGGTACTGACATTCAGTCAGTCACCCATTGATGGCAGTAAACTGAATAGTAGCCACAGCTGCCCTGGGGCGCGCTCAGCGAGGCTGTGGGGCACCATTTGTTAAGCAGTCAGAGAATTAGGAGCAATAATAATGCTTATTTAGCTTCTTTTAAGAGAAAAATAAGGGGATTATTTTTTTCCAAGTAATTTTTTCACTATGTCATTCATTCATTTATAAAGATTTTACTTTGTTAGTTAAATATTTAGTTTGCAAATTGAATAAATATTTATCTCCAAATAGAATGTAGTAATTTAATTTAAGCTAAATATTGAGCTAGCTCGGTGCTAGTTTTTTTGCAAGCATAGAAAACCGTTCATAGATCCAACAGGTAGCTCTCTGATGCACGGATGGGAACTTTCTTCCATTTTTCCCCCAAATCCTCATAATAAAAATAACTGTCAGAGTCTTGGTCTGTTTGTTCCTGTTTTTCTTGGTTATCCATTTGTTGTCCTCTGCTGCCCTCTTGTGTCCTCCCTTGCTCTGTTTCTCTCTCCTGCCTGCACCTGTTGTCAGTTCCCTTGTCAGCCCTCTCTTTGTCTCTGCCCCCTTTAAAAGCCCTCCCTCTTCAGTTGCTGGATCCTCGTCTTACTTCCCGTCTATCATCTGCCAGCCTTGTCTCGTCTCTGCCTGGCTCCTAGTTTTGGTTTACCCCTGATGTCTCCTTGGTTCTGGTACGTTGTTGTTTTCAGTTGGACTCTGATTCCTGCTTCTGGATCTGTGAACCAAAATAAACAGACTTTAATTCACCTCTGCCTACTGGTCTCTGCGTTTGGGTCCCCCAAACAAACACCGCCTCATGACAATAACATAAAATTCTGGTTTCTTTATTTTGTTTTTATAATTTAATCAATGCAACCAAACCTAATAAATTAATGCTGTAATGGAAAATAACCTTAAAGCATGAAATATGGTACAGCAGAGTCACATGATGTGACATCTGCTCCAGGATGAACATTTAATTATCAATGCTTTTTATATATTTAAGCCCACATAGTCCTTTTTTTTTATAGTGGGCTAATACATTAATGCTACTTTTCACTCTCAAATCTTCGTTACTCCAAAAAAAAGCAAAGAATAAAAACATTCTTCTTTCTACTTTGGCAATTTTGGCTTTATTTCTGAGAATTTACCCCTTGGTTACTGTTGCTCAGGGGTCTAAGTAGATTTAAATCAAAAAGGGATCTGATATTTAAAAAAAAACTACACAGAAAATCTATATAAATGTCTTATAATGCCATGGCAATCTGGAACTAAATTTCAATATGTTAACTAAAATGTTGAAATATTCAAATAGATACAAACAAGAACTATGAGGGATAAATATCATAGTTCTTTGTACCTTTTAATCTGGGTCCTTATCCAAAAATAAATAGAATGCAATAAAATATTTGCTTTGTATATAATTTAGGGATTCCTTTTGGTAGAAAGAAAGAATGTTTAATATCACATGTTGTGAGCTGGAAGAAATAAAATCTTGATAGTAAAACAAAGGGTTTTTTAACGCTTGGCAGAGGATGATCAGCCACATATAGTTTATTAAGAAGCGAGAGCAGGAAGAGCCGTACTGCTGAGAGCAAACCATCAGACTGGAGAGACGCATTTCTGAACAAGCACAGCTTGTCGAGCAGTTTTTCAGAGTTGAGCGCGCAGTACCGGACTATTCTGGATCATTTCACCCCTGCTGCCATGGTCCATCTGTGGTCATGCACAAATAGCACCGCTGCACGCAAGGTGGGCGGCGTGACCAAACAGGACGCAGTAGCACTGCTGATACCGCTTAGCAGATACAGAACAATGATGTCTTTTAAACGTCTGTCCGACCACCCGCTAATATTTTGATTTAGTCTCGTCAATGAAAACTCACATAAGTTGTCATGTTTTCGTCATCAAAGATCCATGTTTAGCTCATCAACTCTCGTTATTGTCATGACAAAAAGGAGTGTCAACAAAATAATTTTGCATTGTTGACGAAAGTAACACTGGTTCCAGCCGAGTGTGTCCACCCAGAACTAGAACCAACACAGAGGACCAGCATCTAGTTTCTATGCTCCACTGATCGGCAACAAAGTCCCAGAAGGCTGGAGAAGTCTTGTTTAGCTAGCAGACCAGGAGCAGTATTGGTCACATTCTCTTTTCATCAGCGGTCTGATGTTAGCCAACCCTTTTACCCCAGAATGATGGGTCCTCCACCATGCTTCAGAGTGAGGACTGTTCTTGGGGGCCCACTGGACACTATATGGGTTTCTCATGAGAAGAACCAAACAGGAGCCTCAATGCAACCAAAAGAAAGACAACTTTATTGTAAATGTAATAAATTACACAAATATCAGTCTCTAGACAGATTTCATACTCTGTAAAGACTCTGTAATGACGACATCATCACGCCCCTCCTGCGGACGGCGTCGTTGTAAAATACATTCAGGAAACAATCATCGTTTTGACGTCGGAGAAGAAACAAAGAACTGCATCAGAGCAGCGGAGACACAACTCACACCAAGATTCATCACAGTCACAAACTCACAGCAGGTCCGTTCAAGGAGACGAACTGAAGCAACAGAACTAAACTGCGACTCTGATGCAGTCCCAGTCTTAAGCTTATAAATATATATGTATATATCTGGATATGTAGATCTACGGTAGACACGGGTTACAGATATTCAGACGGTGTTCTGTGGTTGGAACCATAAAGTTAAGCTGCTCACAATAAAAACACAAAGCAAAGCAACTATCTAACTCATGACGTTTCAGAAGCCTGAGTGCTGAAGAGAAGACAGCCACAGGTGGTCAGCGGGTCTACGGGAGGCCAGCAGGTCTACAGGGGCCCAGGGGGTCTACGGGAGGCCAGCGGGTCTACGGGAGACCAGTGGGTCTACGGGAGGCCAGTGGGTCTACGGGAGACCAGTGGATCTACGGGAGGCCAGCGGGTCTACGAGAGGCCAGCGGGTCTACGGGAGGCCAGCGGGTCTACGGGAGGCCAGCGGGTCTACGAGAGGCCAGCGGGTCTACGAAAGGCCAGCGGGTCTACGGGAGGCCAGCGGGTCTACGGGAGGCCAGCGGGTCTACGAGAGGACAGCGGGTCTACGAAAGGTCAGCGGGTCTACGAGAGGCCAGCGGGTCTACAGGGGCCCAGCGGGTGTACGGCAGGCCAGCGGGTCTACGGGAGGCCAGCAGGTCTACAGGGGCCCAGCAGGTCTACGGCAGACCAGTGGGTCTATGGGAGGCCAGCGGATCTACAGGAGGCTGTCCAGGTTTTTCTCATTGCTGCTCTTGTGGTCAGAACCCTCGGGGGGGGTATACTTCTCTTGGTACTGCTGCAGGACAGTGACCACATCATGGTGGCCGAACTGCACAGCTTCCTCCAACGGCGTGTTCCCCCACCTGGGCAGAGGAAACATGGATTCATACAGAACCAACTGTTGTCTCTACTCTTTAGAACCAACAGACCTTAGGAAACCGGGGCAGCTTGGACTCACCGGTCTCTTGGTACTGGATTCACCTTGCAGGCCTCCAGAAGGAAGCGGACCACCTCCAAATGTCCTGAAAACACACAGAGAAACCCGAACGGTCTGGTTCTGTTTGAAAACCAGAGAACCAATGTTTCCTGGTGAGGGTTTACCTTCAGCTGCTGCCACGTGGAGCGCAGTCCGGGAGTCGTAGTCCCTCTGCTCCATGTCCATGGAGGACAGGGCGAACCTAAACACACAAACATCTAGCTTAGATTTCAGAACCACGAATCACACATCTGGTTCTGATCCACTAGAGATCAAACAGATATTAAAGCAGATCAGAACCAGAATCTGGATCCATCCAGATTTCCACCTGTGGCACCAAGCTTCACAGAGAGATCGGATCTACAAACCGAGGCGGGTAAAATCCCCGATCAGAACAGTCCAGTTCTGAGCGTGCTTTTAGGTTCCATGTTCTGGACCTTTGGTGAAGCCTATATAAACGGGACGGTTCATGGTTCATACCTGATGTCATCCAGTCTAGAACCAGTTTGGACCTGGATTTGGGTTCAGTGTTCT